AGCGACAACAGACGCTCACCGTTGTCAGTGCGTTCGGAGTTAAGCCCATAATTACTACCCAGCTGAGCTTCTGAAGAGCTCAGACGCCCTACTTGTGCGTTCATATCCTCTGCAAGTACTATAATATCTGAACTAGTAGCACTGCGTAGTAGTGCGTTCAGTTCGTGATAGAATGTGTCCTTGACAGCATTAGAACTGTAGTCGGTGGGAGCATAAATGGAAATCACAAACAAACAGCGTTTTCTATTACTTCGTGAATCCACCTTAGCTGATGTCGTCAAACGGGTTGCACATAAACGGCTGTCCACCCGAATCCAATCAATCAAAGATGGCTCAGCCTTGGAGCTTAGAATGATACCTGCACCACCTGGACGCGTGAGTGCTGCATCGGCGTCTCCGGATGCGTGCAACCAATAACGAGAGGACAAGCCGGGTGCAGTTAATTCAACAACCCCGTTAGGGTCATTGATGCTAGTTTCGAACACACAACACACAACAATACCCGATGTGTCCCAGGTGCGTGCGAGTGCGGCCTGTTGACCTGTTTGTCTTAGAGTGCGAACGTTGGATGTCGCCATGGAAACGGGATAGCGTGGCCTTATATGAGACTTGCCGATAAGCGTCCGATAGGTGCTGTGGGATGGTGGCTGCAGATGATTTAACTCCAGTATCATTACGGTAGCTATCAATTAAACTGGGGATAGAAGGAAGGTTAGTAATGGGGGTCGGGATGGGAGTAAGAGAAACAGGTGGAAAAGAAAGAAGAGAGGCGCCAGTAGTAGCATGTTTTCGCTTATCCGCCCTGCTGTATGCGGCAAATAAGGCGACACATGATAATCTGCGCGACGGCCGATGCAGGATGAAGTTCATGTTTGAAGAAGACGTCATGGTTGTATGTGGGCTGAGATACTGCCAGTACGGCCAGACGTAGACAGATGTCTCACTGAACTAGGTCTAGAACCCCGCAGGCACGGAACAGGGGAGACCCAACAGAAGCGATGATGAATAGGAAGCTCTGCATGGCAGTAGATGCCCTTCGAATAGCTTCTGAATGCTTGTGGTAAAGGGAACCGCAAAATGGAACAAAATTTAATCGGCGACAGGGAGCAAAACAATGCTTAGTTAAGCCCGGGGATCCGTGCTAGCACGCGACTGTCAGGAAGGCAACGCAGAGTGCATTCCCGGTAGGGCCAAATGTAAACGTAGAGATGTCATTCATTTGCTATGCAGCTAAGGCGAATGCTGTGCCAGCCACGCACGAAGAAACCAGACGAGTTACCTTTTGAACTTATTGCCGATCGTTTCAGCTTACCGAAGCCCGACAAGAAAAGTTGCAGTCAACAGAGCGAGGTAGCCGATAGTGCAGAACTACTACAGAAGGCACTTCAACCCAGGTTGTGAATGGACAAACAGAACGCCGTCTTCAGTACTGCAAATCAACCCAACCCAGTCAATCCTACTCCGTAGCCGCGATGTCAAGAGACGTCCGGGAGAAAGCAAAATCTCCCAAGAAAGTGATTTGCGGTAATGGTATATGGTCGAAGCATCGAGTCGTTTCCGGAAGACTGGCGTCCACCACATGATGCGCGCACACACTTTTTCATTGGTAAACGGAATTGAACAGCCAATAGAAGCAGATGACCTAACTGTTCTGGAACACGAAGATTGTTGGGTTGAAATATGAATACCTGTTCATTTCGCACTACTTGTTACCGTTTTCGGTAGCTACCCTTCCAACTTGCCTTTGCTCTAAGGAACTGACTTCGGATTTTGGTTGGGATTTGGAACTAACAGAGGACCAGATAAGTTCAATCGAAATCGTACTATCACTATGATCTTTGGTGTATGAAAGCTTTACCACCCGCAGCGAAATTTTGCTGCGAGCTTCAATTACGGAAGTACCATAAGCCCCTTGGCGTAGACGCACCCACTTCAGCCATTTCAAAGATGGAGCGTCATCTGTTTTCAGTGAATTACCCCATATAACCTATTTCTCTGGACTCAAGAGTAAAATACCTTGCGACTGTTTCATCCGTTGCAGCGAAGAATCACACCGCCTTTCCCTTAGGAAAACGGTCGGTTATGTAAACAACGCCAAGGAAAATGATGAGCTAGTTCGTGTTCATCAGGGTTGTATGAGACACATGCTTAAAATCCTTTGAAAATAAGAGAAACATAAAATGTCCAATCAATCAAGCATCCTTGATTTTTGTAAATATGAAACGCGCTTCATGCAGTAGATAAGTGCGTTATTTAGAGCAGCCTACTGAATATTCCACGAGCAATTCATTTTCCAACCAAGCAAGGTGCAAATACGTTGAGAACTCCCATGTTCCAGCATCATTAGTCGTGCAGAATTTAGGTCATCAATTATCAACATCAAAAACAGCAGTACATCAGCCATCTGAATTGATGTTGCGCTGCTGAACAACCATGATGGTTAAGGGAATAAAGTAAAAGAGAAGGAGAAGGGGGGACTTAACGGAAAACCACAATACCCTAATCACACTAACAGTCAAGGCGCCTACACCTTGTGTAGACAACATACCGTCACAAACTGCTGGCTATCGTGCAAAGATAAGGCGGCATTGGCGAGACAGTTTCCTTGCGGCTTTCACTGCCCCGCGTCATAATCAGCCAGTACCTCGCAGATAACGCAGCCCCAAACACACTTAAAGTGGGCAATCAGATTAGCAGACGGCAGCAGACGCGCCACTGGTGTCTACTGCGAGCCATGTCCTGTAAAGTCTCAAGCCAAGCACAAGGCGAGTCACGTGCACGCCAGCCCGGAAGGCGAGACGGACCAACGGCACCCAGTTCGGTCGTCGGTGACATCATTTCCCGCTGTCAAGTCAACTTCTGTCCATCTCAAGCCTTGCGCACCCTACACCTGGCAGACTGAACAAGACCCTCCGAAGTAAGTGGTGACCAGGCATATGTAACACGTAGCGGAAGCAAGAGCAACTTATTCAGTGCTATCTGTTGTTCTAAGAAGCTACCATGGTTATCATTACCTAGTACTAGCCTACGCACATCACCGTTGCAAACACGCTGGTGCCATCCGACACCAGCAATGCTTCGCAGACAACGATGACCAAAGACTTGAAGTCGCCTCAGATCTTCAGACCGAAGGGGCCAACACAGGACCATAGAGCAGGAAGGCCGTCACTGCGTCCTGGTACACACGGCCTTTCAGACGGAGGGAAACTACCTTCCGTCGAAAAACATGCCGCCGGTTCAAGAAAGCAGTTCTGGCTTTACCAATGTTTGACCTGACTTTAGTTTCTGTGCACCCATCGTTGCTGTTGCAGCTGCCAAGGTAAGTGAATCGATCAACTACCTCGAGTTCCTCGTTATCAAGTGTCAATGGGTCTTAAAGTGGCTGGTGGTCCTGCAGCAAAACATTGTACTTTGAGGGTGCGAAGCGCAAACCAAATAATGGGACCACTTTGACAGGCTACTAAGAGTCGATTGAGCCACCCCAAGATCGTCAAAAAGCAAGGCGATATCGTCTGCATAATTAAGATCAACTAAGCTTTCACCAGGCGGCACTTCAACGCCTACATAGCGAGATTCCGCAAGTGAACACACGACGATAGAAACCACGACGAAACTGAACCAAAATGGGGCATCGGACAACCCAGACAAACGCCACTTGTGGTCGGAAGGCTGTCCGACAGGTCACCATAGACTCTCACGAGACCCTCAGTGTTCGAGTATACAGCACGAAGGATGTTCACATATTTCGTGGGAACACCTTTCCACGAAAGTATTTCGAACAGAATCGAACGATCGACTGAACCGAAAACACTCTTGAAATCGAGGAACACAGCTATTGTCCGTCTGTGGTATGTGTGGCGCTGCTCTAGCACCTGCCGCAAAGTGAATATATTGTCTATACAGCCATGTCCTGGGGAGAAACCGGCCTGCTCTTCCCTAATCCGCGATTCCCGTTCTGCAGTGAGGCGAGCAACGACAATCGAAGCCAGTAATTTTGTCACAACCGGCGTTAGGCTAATACTCCTGTGGATAGAACAGTCTGTGCGACTGCCGTTCTTGTACATTGCCAGTATAATTAATTCGCTCCAATTAGCCTAGACACTCTTCCTTCCAGATACGTTCGAACAGGGATGTCAGTGCTTTGCAGAGGACCTCACCTCCATCCTTAAATAGTGCAGGTGGGAGGGAATCCGAGCCAACGGCACGAAAACGATTGAGGGCTGTGATCGCGTTTCGGACCTCGGCCTCCGACGGAGGCTCTAAACTAACCGTCCATGACTCGTTCTGCATCACCTGAATAGGAAGAGGTCCGGCAGCAGGGGGGGAGCTGAACTGATCTTGAAAGTGTTCTGTCCAACTAGCCATACGGCGCTCCTTATTGTGTATTAGCTGTCTCTGATTGTCTTACTGACGCCTGGTTTCCAAAGATCAGTGGTGCGGACGAGTTGAAAGAGCTTGCGGTAATTGACCACTGCTCCAGGCTCCTCCATTTCTTGAGCCCGACTGGTCCACCAGGCTTCCTTTTCAGCACGTAGCCTCCGCTTCAGTTCACGTCTAATAGCGCGTCTGGTCACATTGTGTTTAGCGTCAGCCGGTAGATGTCTTCTGGATGCCAACAGGTTCACCGACCTCTCGGATATGCAGTGGCTGGTGCGGTAGCGATTGATAGTGCCACAAAATGATGCTCCTACGTCGTGCATGGCGGCAAAGGAGAAGTAAAACTGCTAGGAGTTTTGCGTCGTTTTTCAGACTTTTCAGATTTCTGGACTTGTTGACTTATCTGCAGACAACGCCGATGAGAAATGACGACATTCCAAAGAAAAGGAAAAAACGTTAGAAAGTAAAGCAACCAAGTCGAAAACTAGTCAGCATCATCTAATACAACTAGTTACAAGAAGTAGTAGCCACAATTCGTAGTAAAGGGGGCCATGTCGATTGTGTTAAAATGGGCTCCAAAGCAATAAAAGGATATGGACAAAGTATATACACAGAAACATCACCTGCACTAGGCTGAGCTGCGGCATCACTTCCATCATAAGGTTGTCTGCATCTACCGTGAACCAAAAGATAAAAAAATCGTCGGTCTTCTTCAATAGTGCCAGTGAATATGAGATCGCTGTTGCAGTATCCTAATGATCTCGACGTCAAATGGATCCTTAAACAATCTGAGAAAAGTTCGAAGAGACAATAGGTATCCAAAGGACAGTCCTCTTTAAGAGCCTGGTCAGCCTTCAATTTTAAGGGGATTAGTCTTCGAATCAGTTGGCTGTGTTTCATCTCCATGTGTGAATCGAATGCTAGTTTTCCAATGCGCTTGACTATAAATGACCGCTTGTGATGAGAAACAGCCGAATTGTACAAGAACAGAGGTGACTTAGATGTCGCCAAATGAAGCTGAGATAAATCGGAATCTAAGAGAAATTAAGAAAATGGAAACCTGCGTACAATAATGTTGAAAATGCCGTGTAGATAGTTCATCACAAGCTAACAGCTTTAAGAGAACGTGAAAGTGGAACCTGCGGAAACGACTTACAGACAACTCCAGTAGCGGCGTGGTAGAGCAAATTAGGGAAAAGACTTCATCATGCGACCTGTCCGTTACGTTGAACCCATTTATTGAAAGTAACAAATCCCCGGGGTGCATTTGTGCTTGCTCCGCGGCAGAACCAGGAAACACGCAGTCCACCACACAGGGGCGTTCATCTCTTAATAAAAATCCATATCCAGACACACCTTTTTGCAACACCACGTGTCGTACAGAAGACATGAAACCTAAGAAAAATGAAAGGGCAAAATGAGGTAAGAGTTTGCCTTAGGTGTCCAACCATAATGGAGGCGACAAAGTGTGATGGGCCAGGTCGCATTCAGTCGCGCAACCAAAAATACACCAGCAAAGTGGGAGGAAAGATCAAGATCAACTTCGGGAAAATAGGCCAGAAAAATCAAATCCATCAGATGTAGCAGCTCACTAGGAAGTAAAAAAAGAGAACGTCAGTGCTTCATGACTGAGCCACATCATACGGGTAATCTCAGGCTGAGTTCGCTGATAGCCTGGCCTAAATGGAAAATGGTAAGCGCCAAACCTATGGCCCCTTTTTCAAGTTTATCAATGATCAACCAAGCAATCGACTCAACCTCCGGGTTCCACCCTTAAGGGCAGTAAACACTACACAATGTAGTAACATGAGAATGGCATGACTCAGCCAGTGAAAATGGTTCGAATTCAAAAGATGCGAATCACTGGATCGTTGGAATGTAGAGAACAGAAAGAAAAACCCTTTGTCAGCTCCATCGCCTCCCGTTCGCTACAGGGATCAAGGTGGACATTGCAAGTCAGTACCAATGGAACCGCTGCATTGACGTAAGAAGCAACAAGATAGGAGTTTACTCAAAAGGTAAAAATCCAATCGAGGTTTGAAACATTCCTCTGACTGCGCATCAACGACATACACAGGTAGATTGCTCCACACGTTCACTACTCTGGTAGACAGAGTGACGTTACAACTGGTCCGAAGTCTCCTTTGCTTAAACAATTTCCAATGGTGAGCCCTAGTCGAACTGGAAGAAATGAGTGGAAAGAAATTCTGCAGTTCAGCTCCAAGTTCACCTCTAACGATACGTCGTGTGAAAATCAAATCCCCGCGATCTCGACGATAGGCTAGGCGATGAAGACGATGTGAGTAAGGAAGGTTTCGTAACTTCAGAATGGATTTAGGTCCTCTCCGTTGAACTTTTCAATCAAGTTACGTTCAGATTTGGAAAGAGGATAAACAGCGAGCAGTCAATTCTCAAGTCGGACGTACATGGGGAGTGAACACGAGCCTGAAGATCTCCGGGGTCAAGGGGGAGAAGGATCGTCGTATGGCGAAAAATCTGTCGGCAGAAGCGACTTTCCTCAAGGTATCTTCAGTCGATTTTAGGTCTGGGGTCACAACGACGCTAAGGTCCCTCCCACGATTAGAGTTTGGCAACAACAACAACCCACTGATATGATAAATTCCAAATGGTTCGGAGGCACCGATCGGAAGAACAGAACAGTTATCGTGATTTATGGGTAATTGACACCTGATGGACCAATCATGCAGCCAATCGAGCCTTATTTGTAGTACATCAGCTTCATCCACACAGAAGACTTCCATGCATAGCTTTAAATCATTTGCGTAAATCAAACAATCTGCCTATAATACAGACGTCAGGTTATTAATAAAGACGGTAAAAAGTTCAGGGCTAAGAACAGAGCCTTGCGGAACACCGCTGGTCATAGTTACAGGGAAGGAAAGGGACACATTTATTTGCACACGGAAAGCGCGGTCATGGAGGGAAATCAGTGAGCCAAGAGAGGATTTTTCCTGAAACACCAATACTGCGAAGTTTGCTAAGCAGAATTTCGTGTGGAATCTTGTCAAAAGCTTTACTGAAACCCATAAATACGAAATCTAGCTGCTTACCAGCATCCATAGATTTAGCCCACTTTTCTTGAGCTACCAGAAGATTGGTGACACATGAACGCGAAGGACAAAACCCATGCTGCGCAGCTGAAATGATCTTGTGGTTCCGGAAATGCAGGTTGAGAGCTCGCTTAAGAATCCTCTCTATAACCTTGCAGACGACAGTTGGGCAGATAATTTGTAGGATCTTGTCTATTTCCTCCTTTGTATATGGGCTTGACTATTCTCACTTTCCAGGCAAACGGAAGACGCCCGGCCTCAAGTGAGCGCCGAGATACGTGACAGATAGGAACAGCAATATATTCGGCCACAATCTTGAGGAAAAGAGGATGCAAACCATCAGTCCTCGGGGAAAAGTTTGGATCCAGGTCACGCAAAAGTATGGATACCATACTAACATTTATGTCCATATCACTGAGAACAGAGAGCAAGGACGAATAATAATCACGTGACGGCACCTTTGCTGAAAAGACCGATGAAAATGGCAAGCTAAAAGACTAGCTTTTTCCGCATCGTCGTGGAGCACGGTGTTAAGAGCGTGGGGATGCAAGGACGGTATTCCACTTCCGGCTCTGGTGCTCCTTTTCAAGTAGGAGAAAAGCAGCTTCGGTATGGACTTGGAATGTTCAGCCACATGACCTTTGTGTTGCTGCCGTTTCGTATGTTTTTTCGATGTACATCTGTTCCTAACCAATTTATAATTTTTATAATCAGTTTCAAATATCGAAAGCCTATAGCGATTTAAAAAGTTTGTGTCCTTGGTTCATGAGCGATCGTAATTCTCGGTCAATCCAGAGGGACCTCTAGTAAAGGGTTCTCGTTTGGATATGAGAATATTATCAATAAGGGACATCTGTGTGTAAACAAGGCTCCAAGCATCAGCGAGGTCTAAGTGCTGGGGAAGACTGCAATCCTGCTCGCTAACGGCCGTTTTCAAGCGGTTTGGATCAGCAAGTCCGAAATTCTGAAGATAGACACAGTGGCTGTGGTCCAGTGAAAGGAAAGTAGGCAGTGGTCACTTCTCCCGATTGGTGGTAAAATATTCAAATCAGAAACATCCGATTGTGCAGGCGAAAGCACAAGATCGAGTTTGTGCGGCGTCTGACCAGGTATAATGCGAGTAGGCGCCGCGACATGTTGAATTAAATTGCTTTCAAGAACAGCTTACTGAAACGTAGAATCGAAGGAGGCAGGTGCAGCATCAAAGTGAAAAAGATCCCAATCAATATTAGGGGCATTAGAGTCCCCCACTAATAAATATTCTTATTTCCACCAAGCTTCTTTAGAGACTCCAGTAAAAAACGATCACCAGGACTCAAGGGAGTTCTGTAGAAGACACCGAGAAGGAGCGATCTCCATCCATCGTGAACATGACACCAAAACACTTCGGAGCAGTCATCACTTTCCAAGACAACATCAAATATATGAACCTTCAGATTCTCCTTCCAGTAGAGAAAGATGCCGCCCCCGACCTCAAACCAATGCGATCAGCTCGTGAGAGACTGTAACCAGGAATATGTACTTCAAGATCTGGGAATAACCATGACTCCGGTAAACGCCATAAGGTCCGGGAGGAGCACTGACGCAAGGTGCACAACTTCATCTAGTTTTTTACGTAGACTGCGCACGTTCGCAAAAAGTACGTGCAATCCAGTTGTTGATCTTAATATCGGGGAAGGATAAGAACTGGTTATCAGCGCGGTCTCTACATTTTCCGAACCAAGCGAAAATCCTCAATACACAAATCGGCTTTACCGTTCGAACGGCGAGTTTTCAATTCATCGACTGCAATCTTCATTTTAACGCGGTCCTACGGGGATAGATCCAGTAACACGTGAAACGGCTCCTACTTGAGGCGCGAAGTCCGTCGAAGGATCCGAAGGGCATTCATCTTCACTTTGGTATACAACCTTAAGGGGACGTGTCTTGGAAGAATCTTCATGTTTTCTGCCCAGGCTTCGCTGACACGCAACCACGTCATGCGTCGGTTAAGAATACTGCGAGGGTAGCCAGGTCCCCTACGCAGGTTCGTACGCGCGACCGGATTACAAGGCAGATTCGTGATTCTTTCGCCTATGAAGTTCCGCATACAATGATGATTAGTGGATGAATGTGTAGGTGGATAAGGTGGCAACAAGGCGACTTGATAAGCAAAAATTCCAGGGCAGCAGTATACATATATATATATATATATATATATATATATATATATATATATATATATATGGTTGGCGGCATCCGGTTTCGGATTTGCCTGTTACTGTGACCAGTCACAGGACGCCTATGCCTACAGAGGGACCATGGATGGCTTGCGCTGCTCTACCCACAGCTCCAACCACACACCCCATACCCAGTGTAAACCCGAAAGAATAAGACCGGGAGGCATGCGGATGGGAACCACGTTTCATCAACGAAGCCGGCCCACACTCCTTCACAGGCAAACACAAGAACGCTGTAGTTGGGGAACCAAGCGCACACAAGGCGGTGGCTGGACCGTAGTCCACTCCACACTCAATGCATGGAATCACTCTTCGAGCCTAGCACCGCCACAGGGACGTGGCACCCCGTTCCCTCCAGCAACGACCAACTGTCTCCTGGAGCCGGTATGAACGAGGTAGTGGGTAATAGACAGGTAGGAACTTTGTCAACATGCACATCAAGCGCAGCCACACCGGGAATATCAAGCAACAGCCAATCACTTGTGTGAAAGATAAATAAACTGAATGGAGTAAAGCATAAGGAAACGGTGACATAAATCTTAAATTAATGAGCATATGAAATAAGTTGTCTACAAACGAATCCGAGATAAGTTCATGAGGTCAGAAGGTATATTTTACGGAGATGCCGTAAACACGAAAATGTTATCAAAATTAACTACATTTGGCTTAAACGACGTGTGCAAGTTTATAGAAGAGAGTACAGGTAGACATTCATCTGAGAAAGAAAAGTATCAGGACAAAATTGAAAACCCACCGCCTGAAATAAATAGACAGCATGCAAGCACGCGGTTAGTAAATTGAATGCAGCGTACCTACAAACGCTGCGCCGGTTCTGCCTACGTTCGCTGCGGGACCCGTCGTCGCTTCGGTAGTGGTCCCAAGTGGCCTCGCCCATGGCTCACTAGGCATGCCTGATTCAGACGCTCGCAAACGCATGTGCTACAGCACCATGCGCTCGATGTCGATGGAGTACAACCCATCATTGCTTGCCGCTTAAGCACTTGCCGCTTCTTCTCTGCATGTATGAGGTCTTTCTCCCGTAGTTCGTCAACTGCCTTCGTGATTAGATCGCGCTATGCACGCCGATCAACTGCCTTCGATTCCCA